ACTACTGCGACTGCGATTCCTACTGCTGCTGCTGCTGCTGCTACTACTACTACTACTACTCCTGCTGCTGCTACTACTACTACTACTACTGCTACTACTACTACTACTACTACTGCTGCTACTACTACTACTAATAATAATAATAATAATGATAATAATAGTAATAATATTATAAACCCTCAACCTTGATAAACCCTAAAATAGTCCAAATAAGCCCTAAACACCTTAAAGTCCCGAATAACCCCAATACCCCCTTAAAGCCTCTCTAAAAGTCTGTCTCTGAGGATGACAGCCCGTACCATCCGAAGCTGGTGCGGCCCCTACTGCACGCTAGCAGTCCAAGCGCTCTCATGCAGGGGAGAGGAGCAGTTCCGCGATAGCCCCACTGAAGGACCCCAAGTACAGGGACATCCCCAAGAAGAATCTGCCACTAGCAGAGCACGCCCAGCCTGTTGCCGCGCACTGGCCCAGATGGCCCTTTTGCCGCCCTTTTGTGCTTCTGTGCCAGGTCTTTGGCCTTGACGATCCAGAGAGTTTTGCCTTTCTGGAGGCTCCGGTCTAAAGCACAATAGGAAACTTGAAGTAGGTTTAATCCCCTGCCTTGAAGCTCAATCGTTCTACGAGAGCATCGGATTTAGAGCTCTGCCTCTAGCCGCGAAGGCAAAGTATTGCACCACAGCTCCATAAGGGCAAGAAGGCGTCTGCTGGATCACACGTGTGTTCGTCCGGCCGTAAGCAGAGAGCAGAACACTTTGCGCGGAGGTGCTGATTGCTGCTCACGGCAACTCGCTGCGAGCTCTTGTCAAGTACCTGGATAACGTGCCAGAGGACGCTTGGGATGCTTGCACGCATTCAGTGCCGATTTCGAGTTTTAGTGCACGCTCCTCGGCAGGATAAGATTGTCGGCCTGAACATCCCGACCGGGGTGCTCTACCTAAGAAACCCGCCGGTTTTTTGGTTCCATCTGTCCTCAAGTGACATGCCGCTTACCTGAATTTTACTGGCCGCCTGCTCAGGTGCCGCTCGTGTATAGATTGAACCGGCAGTTGAAGCCGGTCGGCGTCCGAGTTCCTGGCGCCTTCGCTCCGCGTCTCCTTTGCCCCGCAGCTGCGAGGTAGAGCTGCCCGGGCATGCGGAAGGGCTGAGTCGGGGCCCCTACGCGGAGAGCCGAGGGATAATCGAGGGAGTCCGAAACCCTAAACCCTAAACCCCGGTTTAGGGTTTAGGGTTTAGGGGCATGAGTCTACCAGAAGCAGCATCTTGAGAAGCAGAACCAAGTGTCTTCTCGACAACTCTCGCAAGTGTTCGAGTGGTTGCAAAGGATCTGAAGTCGGTCGATGCAGCAGCGCTTTAACTTCATGGGCTGGTGGGCGGATCGAGCTCGGTTTTCACCATATGGAAGGGGCCAGCGGAATGGCAGTCAGCAAGTGTTTGTTGCCAGGATGTTGTAAAGGGATGTTCCACAGTCACGGCGAGCAACTCCGTCTCATCAACCGAAGCGCAAAGAAACAGCGCATGGAAGCTCCCCAGAGTGGGAGCAGACGAACTCGGATGAAAGTAAGCTTTTTTTCCACCGAGCCGCTGTTCCAAGGTGGGGTCTATTTGGGAGACCCCGATTGGGTGTCTTCCAAGATCAATGGCGTCAAAAACCAGGCCTCTGAATGTCGGTGTGACCGTCGTCATCCGATTGGGTGTCACATGACTCTTGTGCTTGTTCGAGGCCAAAGGGCGCTAGCAGCGATGAGCGGCACAAGTGTTTAGTCTGTAGAAGTAGAAGTTGTTTAGAGGGTATGCCGGCTCGAACGTAGCCTTGTGGCATCCCTTGAATTCGCTCGGGCGACGCAGCGTTCCGTCTTATGTATCTTTGAAGCTGAGGTGCCAGAAGGCCCCGAGGTTCCGTCGAGCTTTTGTCCTCGAATCTTCAGGAATCCACTCAGCTTTCACAGCTATGTCAGCTTTCCCAACTGGAAAGGCAAGCTGTCCACACCCAAGTTCTGTCCGACGACACATCGAATACTTAAGCCATGTTGGGTTCATTGCATGCAGGCATGCATCGTCACCACCGCATGTGGCAGTGTCTGCAGATCGCGTCGAGGAATAGCACCTGCTTTGGCAGGTCTTGCCGACCGCTAAGCGCAGGGTGCCTAGCAGACTTAGCACTCACAGAAGTTCCGACCTTGGCGTTTTTTGTTGGCAGCTAATTTGGCAGCTCCAAGGCAGAAGACATGCTGAGGACACCGGAGGCACAGTGCTCTGGATGCAGCTGAGCCAATGGTCTCGCGGATGCGACATTGTTGGTAGGTGATGACATGGAAGACCGCGAGGCAGGGGCAACAGAAGAGAGCAGGTTGAGCGGAGGTGTGGCGCAGGTGTGAGAGTGTGGAAAGAGGTCGAGGCCAGCGACGAGGAGGATGCTGCAGATGCCCTCGTCAAAGCCAGCAGCTCGAAGTCAGCAGAAGTCTTCTCAATGTGCCCTTAGTGGAGCTTAGGTCAAGTCCCAAGCGAAGGCCAAGGCAAAAGCAAAGACGAAAGGCAAGAGCGGGAAGGCCAAGCAAGGGCCCCTTTGATCCCCCGGGCGTGGAAAGAGCTAGGGACTCTGCCAGGCAAAGTCGCAGGGGTCGACTTAGCCTTGGCCTTAAGCTTTTGGTGCTGTCTGCTTCGTTCACAAACATCTGCTGTGAGGCCCTTACCAATGCGGGGGAGAGCATTGAATCTGATCCAGCGGGGAATGGCGACTGCTCCAGCTGCGGGGCTGTGGGGAAGCAATGGGGAAGCATCAGGGTAGGTGCCAGCTTTTCTCAAGCATTCTTTTATTAGATTTCTCCATGCCCTTTCTCCTATTCCTGTTTCCTCTATCCCTGTCTCTGCCACTCTTTCTCTCCCTCTCTCTCCCCCTGTCTCCCCGCTCCCCTCCACTATTGTAACCAGTAAGCAGCATGACAATCGGATGGTCTTGTGTTGGGCTATGCAGAGAGCCTAGAGCACAGATAGACACTGCAGCGAGGTTGACACCTACCCTGTGCGATGCCCCAAACCCGTAGCTGATCCGTCGCGGAGTCAAAGATGTTTCTGCCGCCTGTTGCGCCTGAAACAGTCTCATGTTCCTCCTGTGCCCCTGGCTGAACCAGGAGCCTGGTGGTGCCTGTCCGCCAGTGGATTCTCCAAGCTTCCAGGTTGGACTTCACACACACACGCACACTTCCCAGGCTTTGCCTGTTGATTCGAGCACGGAAGCAGGCAACGTCGAGATTGACTGAAGCAGTGATAGATGGACCATACTGTGCGTAACAGTAACGAGGGTGATCGTTGCCTTTTCTTGAGCACCTGCAGTTGGAAGAAGATGCAAATGTCAGCCGCCAACCGTGCTCGCTTGTCCGATGCTTCGGTTGTGACACCAAAATCACTCAAACCTGTCCTTGTTCTCTGGGTGATCAGAAGTGCTGTGTCAAAGTGTCCGCGGCACCAGTGCAGTGGCCTTGTAGGTCTCGAAGAAGCTGTCCCCAGATCTCTCAGAAATCACCAGTGGCACCTGTGACCTGCATTTGCCAGGTCTCTCTCCACGTGAGCCGAGCTCGCAGTCGGCAGCCTGCAGGCAGCGCTGGTGGTTGCAAAAAACCAACTCTGAGCAATATGTGTGATTTGAAAGCTCGTGCACAGTGCTAAGCTTCGAGATATGTGGCGTCAGGTTTCACGTACGCTCTGCAGCAAGGCATTGCTGGTGGAGCTTGTCCTGCGAGAGTCCACGATCCAGACAGAGCGATGTCAGTTGCTGCAATCTGCCAGATCACGCGATGTTCCTGATGGGCATGCCAATGTCTCCAACACATCGATTGCATCGGAGTGCGATGGCCAAGCTTATGGAGATTCATGCCGGAACCAGGGCACAGACGGTCGTAGCCTTGCTCTCTCGATCTCTTTCGGGTTTTCATGACATGCTTCTGCCGCAACATACGATGCAATAAGTGTTTTGGCCCGCCGAATCGTAGCCATTCCAGCGTGCCTCTGGCACGCATCCTTTTGACGCTCATGGAGGGCAAGCGATGTCACTGAGCAGTCGGGTCATGGCTTATCAGGGCCTCCAACAAGGTGGCGATAGAACTGGGCGGCCGGCCTGATGTTGCCGTCTCGTCCTCACCATGCGCGCAATCCGCTGCATCCACCCTCTTCCCTTGCTAGGTCTGGTTCCTGCCCAGCAAAGCTCAAGCCATCAGTGCAGATGCACGAAGTCCAGACTCCTGTCATCGTCGAGGGCAGCAACGTTTGGGCAGCAAAGAGGTCGGGATCGGAGTTCCAGGCTCGTCTTGGCGTTTGGGCCATGAAGCGGCAGTGGAGCGAGGCGACGCTGACAAAGCCAAGCCCGGTCCTTGCACTTCGGGAAGAACTCTTGTCACCCTTTCAGAAGAGCCAGCCTCACAAACGTGGTTCCTGTGGCACGTCGGCGATTTGGCAAATCGGGAGCAGGAAAGCTTGTATTCAAGGCTGGGAGCCGCTCAGTCCGCAACGCGAGCAGAAGGAGCAGGTCCTTGCAGCGCCGCTGCACAGACTGCCGGCAGCGCATGCAGCACATGGCAGCCCCTCTCCCGTGAAAAGTCCGCGCCTAACTGCGCCGCCGTTGCTACCACCACAGTCCTCGCCACCCAGAGAGGATGCCGTGCCGCGTGCCCGCGTGGCAATCGTAGGTGCTGGGCCGGTTGGTCTTTGGGTAGCCGTGCTGCTGGCCCGTGCACACGCACGTCTTTTTTTCACTGCGTCTGGCTTTCGCATCAAACGCCTTCCTGGAGCGCCGGACATCAACGAGCCACAGCTTGAATGGCACACAGGATGCATAGGTGTTCCGTCATGCAGTTGAGGTCTTTGAACGTCGCACCGATGAGGGTGGCTGGGGCTCGCGCACTCGAGCTGCATCAGTTGCTTCCGAGCGGCCTGTGTTGGACTCCCGTGCATTATGATGCTTTGAGGCCGTATTGTACTGGCTATGTCAAACGCCTCGCAGGCCATGCAGATGAACTGCAAGTTGCATGTTGGTTTGGCTGTTGTTTGCTTGTTCCAGCAATCTCGAGATATCTCGAGGATTGTTTTCCTCTGTACCCGCCGGATGGGTTCGGGATGTTTGGGGGGACCTGCTTCAATGAGATCAAACCCGTCGTCAGCGCATGGCAAGGCTGCACTCACTACTGCAGTCCGTCGAGTTATGCAAACTACTCATGGAAGGGTTTGTCGATGATGCCACCTGGTAGTCATGGCCTTGGCAGACAATGAAAGTACGCTCTGCAAGCCAGTTCTCTAAACGTTGGTGCTACTACTGTATGGTTTCTGCAGCAATGTATTCGTGGAATTGCTACAATCAGTGTCTCTGTAGAGTCAAAACTTCAAGTCAAAGTGTTGTAGAACTTGGGGTTGGGTTTCACGGGTGCAACACTGTAGCCGAGCTTTGATCCATCCGGTTGGCAGGAAAGGGTCTGTCTTGCCTCCTTATTTCTTGGCGCGGGGCCTCCACCCATGCGAGCTGCTGTTCCCTGTCCTGCTTCCTATCCTATAGAGCTGCAACAAATCCTGCGACACGAAACTGGCCGCTGCAGCTGCAGCCGTAGAGGCTGCGCTTCTGGTTGGCAGAAGCGACCAGAGAAGTGGCACCTGATGGGCATCTTACGCTTTCGCGCTGAAAGCATACGACTTGCTGCCGGTACTCGGGCTGCCGGTAGCATCCACACATTTCAACGAATTATGCCAACTTCAATTGTTGTGACGAGTTGGTGTTCTTAATCGACCTGCGTGACCAAGCCCAACTGGTCTTGTTAACCAAAGGTGGTGGCAAATTGTTTGGTGAAGCTCTTGCAGGATGTCCTCAACAGTCGACTCATGTCCGAGAGGGAGCTCTGTGCGCATCATTGCGGGGGCTCCCAGATGCTTTTTGGTATCAGTGATTGTCTGCAGGCCTTCTGTGTCAGCGGACATTTAGTTTCCCGGAAAATTTCCATGGTGGTGGGAGGCTTCTCACCCACCTGCTCCATCAACCTCATCGAATCCATCCTCCGTGAGGACCAACTGTGGAGCAAGTGCGAATGCTTTACTGTCTCTCCAGCAACATGACAACATGAAACTGAGATACTTGTGAAGCAAGGGAGACGTGTAACCGCATGTCTCGTGACCAACCCTTGCAGAGAAAGCGTTTCTACGGTTTTTGTGGCATGTGACGCAGCCGCTTTGACTCCAAGCGCCGCTAGTTGCCATGAGATTGTCGGGTGAGTCATGCTCTCACTTCCGGATGCTTAGCAGAACTAATTAGCAGATTGTTCTCTGTCGTTCATCAGCGGACGGATACCTCAACGGATGTGGTTCGAAATCATGCCTTTTCCTCGGGTTCTCCGGGCTAGTTATCAGCAGTGCGTCAACTGGCTTTTTCAGAACAATGCAACTAGAAATGATTCCATCTTGGCTTTCAGGATTTCGCAGACAAACGTCTAAACAATGGCCTTGGATTCCTAGCTTGCATTTTGCTACCAGAACTGCTCGACGCCTAAATGACCAAAATCGCCTTTCGACACAAACTGCCTGTGTTGTGATCCCGGGGTGATTGAATTCCTTACTTATTAACTTGTCCAAGTTCACTCAACTCCTTTGAGTCCCTCAAGTCCGCATCTTGAGAACCCTACCATGTTTAAGACCCGCTTACTACTACCTGCAGCTTCTGCTACTACCTACTACTGCCTTTTACTACCTTCTACTACCTCATACTACCTTCTACCTCTGCTGCTACTACTGCTATACTACTGCTACTGCTGCTGCTGCTGCTGCTGCTACCGCTACTACTACTACTACTACTACTACTACTACTGCTACTACTACTACTACTAACTACTACTACTACTACTACTACTACTACTACTACTGCTACTACTACTACTACTACTACTCCTACTACTGCTACTGCTACTACTGCTACTACTACTACTACTA